TGGGGTGGTTTTCCTTATGCTAATGATTTTAATCGAGGTTATTTTTCAGGATATACATTCATGCAGATGTCATAACAGTCATCCAATGTCTAGGTCCCATCTGTGTTGAGCTCGTGCCCAGCCAAGTACCACAAGAGTTTGGAAGTAGAGAAATTCTACCTGATGGATCAGAAAAGCCTGGACAGATGAGAGGGTGTTGATGGAGGAGTCTGAAAGGATGGATGCAAGGGACATGGCAGCGGGTGGGGAGGGGAGTATGTGGACAGAGACAGGAAGATAAAGGTGGGTCCCACATATATGTACTAACAGGGGAACTCAGAAGCCAAAGGCGAGTGTCCCATATAGAACAGATTTCTGGAATAAAACCGTAAACCTGAACTTTGCCTTCCAATGATCATGGTCATTTTATTTAAAAAATGTAATGGCCTAATTTGCGAAGTTTAACATGATACGATAGGAGAGGATGGATTGGGTCTTCATTTTGTTAGTTCTGATATTTCTTCCATAATCATTCTACTGAACATTTGCCAGACTTTTCCATACATGAGGTAGATGGAGGAGCAGGGGATATCTCAGCTACCCAGGATGGACACATTTATGCTTGCTGTAGTTATTAAAAGCATCCACTTTACTCCCCAAAGTGTCCCAGTTTAGATGATAAATTATACGGTCATTCTATCATGGGTATGATTATTAGTGTTATTTTTAAAAAATTGTGTTTTAGGGGCCTCTCTGGTGGCACAAATGGTTAAGTCTCAGACTATGAAGCTATGGGCAGCTGCTGCAGCACAAGTTCGATTCCCGACCAGGGAGCTGAACCACAGGGCACAGCAGACCTCTCTGTCTGGCCCGCTGCTCCCCTCAGCAGTGTATTTCAGTCGATCAGCATGTTTTGCACCCCACTCTGTCTCTGGTAAATCCTCTCACCTCCTCCCCTTGCACCTCTGGCCCACACCCCAGTTCTTGTATGCATAAATAAATAAATCTTTAAAAAATAAAAAAATTGTTTTAAATATATATAACCTAAAATTTACTGTTTTAACTATTTTTTTATAGATTGTTTTGGTTTTTTTTTAAGATTTATTTATTTATGCATACAAGAGCTGGGGTACAGGCCGGAGATGTGAGGGTTGAGAGGATTCACCAGAGACAGTGGGGAACAGAACAGGCAGATTGACTGAAGCACACTGCTGAGGGGAGCAGCGGGCGAGTCAGGAGAGGTCTGCTGCACCATGTGGGTTTCTCCCTGGCCGGCTGGGGATCGAACTCTTGCTGCAGAGGCTGTGGATCACTTCACAGTGCGGTGCCCAACCCCTTGCGCCACCAGGGAGGCCCTGTTTCAACTATTTTTAAGTGCACTGTTCAACCAACACTGCCATCCATCTCCAGAACGTTTTTATCTTATAAAACAGAAACTCTACACTCATTAAACAATAACCCCCATTTTCTCCATCCCTCCACAGCTTCGAATTCTACTGTCTGTGACTGTGAATTTGACTAGGTATGTTATATAACTGGAATAATAAAGAATTGGTCTCTTTGTGACTGGATTATTTTACTAAGCACTAAGTATTCAATATTTGTCTATGCTGAAACAGGTGTCAGTTCACTTCCTTCAGAAGGCTGAATAATGTTTCATTGCCTGTGTAGATTGCATGTTGCTTATGCATTCATGCAAGGATGGACACCCAGGTGGCTTCCAGCGAGGTGAGCCTCATGGGCTGACTCAGCGTGGCATTCAGGCTCAATATCAGGGTCACTGATGTTGCACACTTCAGGGAGGCCAGAAATAAGGTGAAGCCACCATTCCGTTGCCTCGTCTTCCAAAGGCTGAAGGTAGAGCTGAAAAGCAGGTTTTCCTGAATGCTGAGATTCAGTCAAAGTGTTGTGCACACTCAGAGTAGAGCATGTCAGGAGAGAGGGAGGGAGCACAAGAACTAGATCGGGGAATGCCAGACCTAGGCGCTGGGTTTTACCCCTTGGGTGGTAGAGCTGGTGTCACTGCAAGACTCCCGCAGGCTGTGGTGGGCTTGGGTGATCTCAACAGTTGACTTGGTACCTCCCTTCCAGACCATGGCATCACCTTCTCCATCTCATCGGCCAGAGATGAGTCGGTATTTATGAACAGCACCTTTGTGCCAACAGGTGCCCCCAGGCCCCCATCACAGCTGTGTCCACCAGTGACGATCTTCCCCAGGTGCTGCCCCACCCCTGCCAGTTGCTGCCGCTGTAGCCTCTGTCCCCAGACTGCAAATGAAAGGGGCCTGTGGAGACCCTCTTCATGCAAAACACGCAAGATACAAAAAAGGCAGCAAGCCCTTCCACCCGTGCCTTCCAGGTTCTTGCTTCCTGTCCCTGGAGACAAATGTATTTCCAGTTGCTTATATATCTTTGCAAAGACATCCTTCTGGAGATAGTGTACACATCCACCAACAGGTTAGGACAATGGTCTTTGGTCTCTATTTCTTTTTCAATTTTACGTAAACAATGGTGTTCCTGACACGCTGGCCTGTGCTTTCCTTCACAGAAAATATTTTGGAGGTTGTTTCATATTAATTCATAAAGTGCTGCTTCTTTCTTGCCTGTGGCTGCTTAGTACACCAATACCCCAGATTTTTTTTTCTTTTTTAGCCTGTCCCTAAATTATGTGCATTTGAGTAGTTTCTGTTCTTTTGCTGTAATAGACAATGTGGCCATTTGCCATCGTAGATTGTCTTTGGTGAGACTTTTTGCCCTATTTAAATTTTTTTAAAGATTTATTTATTTATGCATACAAAAACTGGGTTGCAGGCCAGAGATTTGAGGGGGTGAAAGGATTCACCAGAGACAGAGTGGGGAGCAGAACATGTGGATCTATTGAAATCCATTGCTGAGGGGAGCAGTGGGAGACAGGAGAGGTCTGCTGTGCCATGTGGGTAGCTCCCTGGCCAGCGATGAAACATGTTGCAGTGGCTGCGGATAGCTTCATAGTGCTGCATCTTAACCCCTTGTGCCACCAGGGAGGCCCCTGTTTATTTAGACTTTTTTGGTTTCTTTCATTGGGGGCCTGTAGTTACTCATTTATAGATCCTGTGCATACTGTTGGTGTTTGCCTATGCATTTCATATTTTTAGTATTAAAGTAAATGGCATTGTATTTCAAATTTCAAATTTTTACTCATTGCTGGAAAAGAAGAAATCCATTAACTTTTGTATATTAATTAACCTTGTAGCTTGCAGCCTTTTTATAGTTCTAGAAGTATCTTGGTTGATTCTTTGAGATTTTCTACATGTCATCTGCAAACAGAGATGGTTTTATTTCTTTCTTCTTAATCTGCATGCCTTTCTCCTTTGTCTTCTCTTACTGCATTAACTAGGATTTCCAGTATGACATTGCATAGAAGTGGTGAGGGAATGCACCTGCCTGTTCTTGATCTATTTTCTCACCATTAAGTAAAATGTTCACTGTAGCTTTTTGTTGGTAGCTATTTCTCATCAGGTGAGGAAATTCCCCTCTATTCCTAGTTTGCTGAGATTTTATATTTGTTTTTTATCACAAATGGGTGTTGGATTTCATGAAATGATTTTTCTGCATCTACTGATGTAATCTTATAATACTTCTTTTTTAGCCTGCTGATGTAGTGGATTGTAAAAATTGATTTTCAAGTACTGAATCAGAATGACATTACTGGACTAAATCCAGTGTGGGCCATTAGAGGATGCACACAGGCCAGGTCAGCAGGCAGGCTGCTGCAGGAATGAGCAACGACTTCCCCACCCCCATCTCAGAGCTGCCCTCATGGGGGTTTGCATTACAACTCCTGGCGCCCTTTGAGCCAGGCCTCCTCATCAGGGAGCTGATGGAAGGAGGAAGGAGCTGGTGGCCAAGTTGAACAGGGAGAGGGCAGAAGCCACACCGACAGGTGCTTTTCCTCGTCTTCTATTTTTTCCAGTTTCAGGGCTTTGGCAGGCTGCAGATCCTGCTTCCTTCAGACCCTGTGGCCGCCACCATCTTGACCTTGTGGTGGATTCAGACGGGCGGTACTTTTTGGTGTTTGGTTTTCCCCTTCTCTTCCAGCCCTGTGGCCCTGCACCACCTCTTGTGTGTGTTTCCGGCCCAGATTGCGGTGGGTTCATCTCCTGATGGTTCTGTGCTTGGGCTGGGGCCACTGTGCTTTGGGCTCTGCCTGTTTGGCTGAACAGTTGCTGGAGGGGGATGTTGATTTCCGAGCTTGACTGAGAGTCTGTATCTTGAATCCTTCTCTCCCCTACTCCTCTCCTCCCTTTGTCCCTTTGAACTTCTCACTGATTAAAAATCTTTGGGAACACTAGAGTTGATTAGTTTGCTTTCACGCACACAGGTGGCCTGAACCTTAGAACGGGCAACATGGGTGTGGCTCCAGGAAGGCGCAGAGCTGGTTCTCTGTATTCGGGCAGACGGTATAGGAGAGTCCTGGAGCCCTCGGTGGCTTTTTCGGGCTTTTATTGAGGTTTGACATGTAGTGTGGCACCCAGGCAGGGGTGCAGGAGGCCAGGAGGCTGGCAGGCCTTCCAGCCCCCTGCGAATCTTCATCTTTACTGGGCTCTTTTGAGTTCTCTCGTGGCCTCTGCTTCTCTGCTCTTTTTCTTCCTGCTACTCTTCTCTTTTCCTTCTGGTAGTTCCGCTGCACGCCACAGCCCATCCCACCCCACCCATCCCATCTCCTCCAAGCCCGCCTCACCCCACCCCTCCCTTGGTGTGCTCCCTCGCCTTCCCCCCCCCCCCCCCCCCCCGCAGAATGTCTCTGACTCACAGCTGCCTGCTAATTTTGTTTTTTATTGTTATTATTTTTCCCCTGATCCCTTATTTGGTTCCCCTGTATTCCTCCTGTAAGTGAACCATTCGATATTTTTCTTTTTTTCTGTGACTTATTTCACTGAGTATCATCCCTTCCGGCCAGTCAAAAAACAAAAAACAAACCACGAGCAGATGCATTTCTAGGCCGTACTTTATCTCCCCTTTTGTGAGGCCCAAGGCTGGAAGGGGCTAGAGTTGTCTAGTTGCTCTTACTCCAGGGCAGATAAGGCTCCTGGAAAGCAGTTTCCCTTCCTGGCAGGCTTGTGTTAGGAGAACAGAATGCTCTGGGCTTCCAGAATGGTTACAATCCTCCCGGGGGTTTTTGAAAGTGGTTACTTTTCCCTCCCCAGGCTGAAGCATGGGGCTAGTTGTCCCATCTTCACAGTGACAACTGGGTGGCTCCTGGAGGTAAACCCCAGGGAAGTGTGGGCTTGCCTGGCTAGGGAACCCCAAGAGTTTGCACTCTCCCAGCTAGTCCACATCCAGGCACCAGCAAGTCATCAAAGACTGAAGTGTTCCTACCAGCTGTGGGCGCCAAGGCCTCTTCTGCTCCTGGTAGGTGGTGATTCTCTGTATTCCTCATCTGCCCTCTGCCTGCCATTCTCCAATGGTTCTAAGCAAAGTTGATAATCACTTTGTTCAGGTTTTTCTTGTGAGACTGGAAGTACCAACTTTCAAGTTCTTTAAGTCATGATTTTTTAGTTCTCTCCATGGAGGGGCTGTGTTTTGGTGAGCTTTTGTTCTTCAGAATTGTGCATGGTTTGGTATTGCTCGTCAGGCTCCCTACTTTCATTTTTAAAGGCATTTCGCCTCTGATGAAAACTCTAGGAAAATAGGCATGGAGTAACAAAGGTAACACACAGGAAAGTTAAAGATCCAGAATCTTGTAAAAATTCTCAGAGTATTACTTTCCTGGTTTGTAGGATCCTGACTTCCCTTTTAGAAATTTCTTGATGCCTCAGAACTCGCTTCTGTATCTAACCTTCAAGGATGATGATCACTTCTGTTGCCAAGCTTTTCTTATCTTGTCCTTATCAAAAATTGCTTTCAGTGTGTTTATTTGTCCTACTGTTACTTCGTAAACAATTTGGGGTCCAAGGCTCAGACTTCTCTGTGCTTGAGAGCTGCCTGCGGTCTTGCACAAAGCCAGTCTCTGATTAGGACTCTGGGAAGATGGATTCCCAGTTGAATTGGATTGTTTCCCCCAGCTGGCATGGTGTAAAGCAAATCTTACATGTTGCTAAGTTGCCACTTATCAGCTCATTAACCCAAACATGTGCCCAAGTGTCTATCCTGTGATCCTGACTCTTAATAGGAGAAACATTCCCCAAGAAGAATCTCTCTGAATCTAACTAGAAATATGCTGAAACCATCAGTGCGTGTTCATTACAGAAAACTGCAATGCTGAGCCTCCCTGGTGGCGCAGCGGTTGAGCGCTGGATTGCGAAGCTGCCCGCAGCCTCTGCAACGCCGGTTCGATCCCCGGCTGCTCCCCGGCCACAGGAGGAGGGTCCCACATGGCGCGCAGACCTCTCCTGCCACCCGCTGCTCCCCTCTCCACTTCTCACCCCTCTTTGCCTTGGAGGGTTCCACTTACTGAGCACTTTGTTTCCAGCTCTGTGTTAAGTGCTTTATATGTCAGATCATTTAACTACTGCCACCTGCCCTAGAAAGTCAGTGGTAATAGTCTAATTTTGCAGATGAGGAAACTGAAAGACAGAGAAGCAACTTGCCCAGGTCATTCAGTAAATGACAGATGTGAGAGCTGAACTCAGACTGAAGAGGCTGTGCTTCTACCCAAACCTCTGTGCTATCCCTGTTTATATACACATGGAATACTCACAGCAATACCAATCCTGGGTTTTTGTTGTTGACTCCTGGAGAATGCGCCGCCCTACCCTCTGACTATTAGCAATGCATAGCAAAAAGGCCAAAGGACCTGCACCAAAAGGGTGATTATGGGATTTATGGATCATTTTTATTTTCCTCTTTATATTCATCTGCATTTTCCAAGAAAACATTGCAGTTTTCCTTTTTTTCAAAAAAAAAAAAAGATTTATTTATTTATACAAGCACTGGGTATAGTCAGAAGTGTGGGCGGGTGAGAGGATTCACCAGAGACACAGAGGGGAGCAGAGCAGGCAGATGAACCGAAATACACTGCTGAGGGGAGCAGCGGGCAAGATGGGGGGGTTCTGCTGCGCCATGTGGGTTATCTCCCCGGCTGGCCAGGAATCGAACCCATGCTGCTGAGGCTGCGGACAGCTTCACAGCACTGCGCTCAACCTGCTGCGCCACCAGGGAGGCCCAGATCTGCTCTTTTAAATATGATTTAAAATGTGATTTTTAAATGTGTTAAAAAGCTGGATTTCAGACTGTCTTTACAGAAGAATGACCGCTAATAAATAATAAGATTGGATGATCATTATGCAATGACCTCTGCAACAACTGATTCTGTCAAGGTTCTAAAGTTTTGGGGGGAGATGTTTCGGGGTACAGCGTGTTCATACAGTAGCCAAGTCTCACTTTGCAGATGATGTATTACTTCTAGTTGAGAGTGCTGTCAGACATTTGCTGACCTAAATAATCAAAATTAGATTCAGAAAGAATGGGACAAACTAACACTCTGTTGGCTCCTGATGTGATACAGTAGGAAGGACACTGCGTCACTTAAGCAGTGTTGTGAACAACAGTTACTCCGAATGCCATCATGAAGAAGCAACTAGGCAAAGAGAGCCTAGGGATAGTCCCTAAGACTCTTCAAAAATATCAGTGTAGGGGCCTCCCTGGTGGCACAGGTGGTTGAGCGCCGCACTGTGAAGCTGTCCACAGCCTCTGCAGCATGGGTTCAATCCCAGCCCGCTGGGAGAATCCCACATGGCTAGGCAGACCTCTCCTGTCTCACCCGCTGCTCCCCTCAGCAGTGTATTTCAGTCAGTCTGCCTGCTCTGCTCCCCGCTCTGTCTCTGGAGAATCCTCTCACCCTCCCGCACATCTGGCCTGTACCCCAGCACTTGTATAAATAAAAAATAAATCTTAAAAAAAAACTTTATTAAAAAAAAATCAGTGTCACGAAAGACAGGAAAAAGGTTGGGGCAGGGGACACATTTCTCACTGCATTAAACCTTGACTGGGTGCAGGATACTGTATCTTTAAAAGGACATAAAGGACATTTTGGAGCTAATTGGGGAAATTTAGTAAAGACTGTCTATTTGATAAGATTGCATTCAGGTTAACTTTCTTGGGTGTGCTGATGGCATTGTGGTTATGTAAGGGAGTATTCTACTTTCAGCAGAAGCAGGTGAAGTGTTTAAGGGTGAAAGTGAGCTTAAGTCCACAACTGACTTTCAGATGGCCTAGCAATAAAATGGTATCATATGTAAATATATATAACATATATTATATTTTATATTTAATATAGATCATTAGTAAAGGATGAGTGTTTAATTTTCTTTCAATTCTTCTGTATGTTTGATATTTAAAAAAATAAAATGTTGGGAATAAAACCCAGTTTTCTGATGAATGCTGGAACAAGCCCTCCTACTGACATAGGCATGGGACTCCTTCCAAAAAGAATTAAAGAACCTCTGTCTTGACACATAATCTTTTCTGGCTGCATTTTACTAAGTCTTCTTTATGGACATCTGGCCTACCAAGGGGAAGTAGATTCATTCCCTATACTTGAATTGTTTTGGGTTTGGCTTTATAGTGCTAAGAAAATTTCCACTGAGCTGATTTACTAGGCCCCTGAATAGCGATACTACTATTTGCCACCAAATTTCAACAGTGGGACTGTCTTGAAGAAGCTCAAGAGAACGTGCCTGGGTTCATCCTGCGGGGATCTCACAATTATTTAAGGAGAACAGAGTCTAAGAACCACTTCCTGTCCTAGGAACATCTGATCCAGTGTCACACATGCCGAAAACAAGAACTCAGACCTGTTGTCACAAAAAGTAAACATAGGAAGTAGGAAGCAAAGATCAGGCTGCTGGGTGAGCCCTCATAAATTACATGCAATCATTAGACAGTTAATATTGTGGAGTCGTTTGTATCATCTTACCTAATCTCAACAGTGGACAGCAAATTGTTCTTTTCTTTGCTACTCAGAGTAAATGGAGATTATCATTTCGCAGAAAGGATGGATGAGGTAGGATCCAGTTCTTGGTAGTGGAGGACATTATTGTCCCATAGTAAACGGGTAAGACTAGTAGAGGAAATTTGAAAGAGGAATCTATCCTGAAATGTAATTGCATCAAGGGGTGATACACAAGTTCTTTGTATCCAGCTCCAAATGTTGGATTTGACTACCTGCAGGACTATGTTTAGAAGGATTCCTGGATAAGGGAGAAAGGGTGTAATAAGTGGTTCGTGATACCTGTTAGGGTTTTTTTTGAGGAGTATAACAACATGGTGACCATATTTGCCATCTTTAAATTCCCAACACAAATTTAATTGATGCTTGGAAAAAAAACTAAAACCTTCAAAAATTTAAGGTAATGATGACAGAAATGGCTAATTTTTGTGGCGCACTTACAGTGGGTAAGACAGTAATCTAGGTGCTTTGTGTATATTCATTCATTGAATCCTCACAACAATTTGATGAGGTAAAATCTATGACTGTCACATCCATGTTGCGAACAAGGAATGAAGCCATTTACACTCAACTTCTCAGCATGACTTTTTTTTTTTTTTTTGTAATTATATTTCAAATTTCAGCCTTGCCGCTGTCACTCCCAAATCCTCTTCCTGCTTTAGTTTTCTCCTTGGTGCCTGTCACCACCTGGCCTTCTGTATGTTCTTCCTCCTCCCCTGGCATTCCCCCTGGCACAGGGTAGGCTGTTTTGAAGACTGTTGACAAATGTTGCCGGGTGTCCCTCTGGATGCCCCATGAGGATGCCCTCCCCCTAAGATGTCTGCCAGCACCCAAAGTTGCAATTTAATAAATCTCTGCCAACTTGACATAAAAAAAAAATCTCATTTTCATTTTCAGTTCTTTGATCACATGCAAAGATGTTTTAAAAATATAAGCATTGCCTCTTTCGAATCGGATGAGTAATAATGAAAAATCTATTTCAAATGTCATTAAGCCTCCAGATACGAGAGAAAATTTTCAGTTCGCATGAAGGGGGCATGAAGGGGCCATGTAAACCGAGACTGGAGGAGGGAAAAGAGAACAGCGAGGAAGAAGGGGAAGGAAAGAAGAAAGAAAAGCAAGAAAGAATAGATAAAAGGGACAAAATGCAGAATCGCACCGCGTTTCGTCCCCGGTGCCCGGACAGGCTACTGGGGCGTGGTCACCACAAGCCCCACTCAGTTAACCCAGGACTCTGCACCTTCTACCCATGCCCGTGGTTCTCAAACTAGGTGACCTCAGAACCCCCTGACATTCTTAAAAATAATGAAGAACCCCAAAGCATCAATGTATGTAGATTACATCTATCAGCATTTGCCATATTAGAAGTTAAAACAGAAAACCTTAAAATATTTATGTAAATAACGTTTTTGTGAAAACAGCTCTACTTTCCAAACCACAACAACAACAACAAAGTTAGGGAGCAGAGAAGCATTGCTTCTACGTTTTCACAGTCTGGCTTAATAAAAGGGGCCTGGCTTCCCCTCTGCATCACTGTGCTGTGACACCACACATCACTTGGCAAACTCCTCTACACACTCACAAGAGGGAGTTAACAAGCCTTAGTCCTATTTAAAAACAGTTTTGGGGGCCTCCCTGGTGGCGCAAGGGGTTAAGCATCAGCACTATGAAGCTGTCCACGGCCACTGCAGCATGAGTTCGATCCCCGGCCAGGGAGCTACCCACATGGCACAGCAGACCTCTCCTGACTCGCCTGCTGCTCCCCTCTGTATTTCAGTCAACCTGCCTGTTCTTCTCCCCACTCTGTCTCTGGGGAATCCTCTCACCCCCCACCTCCCGCAGCTCTTGTAGGCATACATAAATAAATCTTTAAAAATAAATAAAAACAGTTTTGAACTGTGGATTCCCAAAACGTGTCCTGGGACCACCCAAAGGTGCCTGGACTGCCCTTTGAGAACCAGGGATCCAGGCAGGAGGGACGCTGCAAACCCCCCTGGAAGAGTCACCTGACAACATGTATGAAGGGCCATGAAAACATCAGGGCCCTGGGACACAGGGACTCCCCTTAAGAGGGGATATTTCAAAGCAGTAATTCCCCAAGGAGGGAAAGCTGCCTGAGCGGCCTGTAGCTGGGAGCAGGTCCACAAATGCTGGTCTGTTCACGTACTAGCACCTACGCCGGCCGCTTATTCGTGCGCCAGCCAGCACGCACAGCTCAGGCGGGGAGCTGCTGCTCAGAGGGCTAATGGCAGAAGCAAAATAACCGCCGCCCTCACTTGTGCCCACTGGTTTCAGTAGACTTTGGATGCCTGGAGACAGCCAGGAGCGGGGGTTTGGGGGGGCTGTTTGATACAGGGGGGCCTGGAAGTGCAGGAGGATTTTTTCTCTCCTCTTTTTGGTCCATGTTGACATCAATGATCAATGTTTACTTTTTTTTTTTTTTTTTTTTTGCGCAACAAGTAAAAGCAAAAACCAGGACTCTCTGTTTTGTATTGTTCTCCTGGTCAGTGTGGTCAGGTGTGGGCAGAGAGCAGTCACGGAAGAGAGGTTTGGGGTGAGGCACCAGTCAGGGCTGGGGACTCCATGCTTCGGCTCTGTCCGTGGTTCCCTTTCAGTGGCGACAAGAGAAACTTCTGGCCGAGCAGCTGTTACCATAGGCCTGTGGGAGCTGACGGAAGAGCAGCTGCTGGGGCTGCTTCACTTCACAGTGGGAAGGAGAAAGCCGGAGGGGGAAGCCGGAGGGGGAAGGAGAAAGGTGGAGGGGGGTGGGGGCTGGGGTGATGGGGGGCAGCTGGAAAGGTTCTCTCGGAGACAACCAAGGTCCAGGGGCCATAGTAGGGCACGTGGGAGGGAGCTGGGTGGGGAGCTGGGTGAGGTACCGAGTGCTCAGTGGGTCTTAGCTGGAAGACAGTGGGGTGCAGGGAGCACTGGGGAGTTTCTCTGCCCCCAGATCTGCCTGAGCCTGGAGTGCTCGACACAGAGATTCCGCCTGGACAGGACCAGGGAGAGGCCTGTGTTTTAGGAAGTCCTCACGGCTAGGTGTGTGCAAGCCGTGTTAGACGTGGGGGAGACGGGTTGAACTTGGACACGGGGTTGTAGTAAGTCCTCAAGGTCACGATGGGCCTCAGAAACCGGGATTTGAAATAAAACCACGTACAACAGCGAGTACGTCACTGAAAAACGAATAACTGCCTTTTGCTCAGTGTTGACTGGGAATTCCTCCTCATCAACGTTCTAACGAAATGGCTGAAGGCAATGATGCTTTGGAAGGACCTGCCAAATGGAAGAGATAGCCCCGCAGGCCTCGAGCTCTGGGGGGGCCAGACTCAGGAGTGTGAACTGGGGGCCTGTCCTCCAGCCCCCAGCTGCAAATGCAACCAAAGTCCTGGTCACACCTGGCAGCTTTGACACAAGCTTCTTTCAGTTTTCCTTTTGCAGCCCAGTCATGAAACGAGTCACCTCAGTAAACCCGCAGCGTGCGGGGAGCAGAGCAGGTGTTAGGTGCCTGCACCGCTGCTGCCTGCCAGGTGCTCCTGGAAGCACTGAAAATGTCGATGGCAGCTCCTGGGGCTCCCTGGGTGCGGTGTGGAAGGGGTGCAGCGGTCAGTTCAAACTTGGCCCTGGGGGACGGGGCGGCTGGGGCCGGCCACACGCAAGTGGAACTCGTGAAAGCTGATGCTAGGTCAGGTCAACCGAGGGCACAAACCTCTGACAATCTTTACTGTTTTGCTCAAGTTGCATGTGACTGAGATGTTCTGCTCTTTGATTTGGGGGAGTGTCTCAGAGAACCCCAAGGTCTTCACACACACTGAGACTCACCTGCCATGGCCCTCGCAGGCCCGGGAGGCCCCCCAGGCTCGGATGGGCTGGCCCTGCCTGCGCCGGCTGGTCTAGAGCAGACACTCGCCACAGCTGCGGCCTGATCCAGCGGGGGGTGGGGGGGGGTGAGGGGGGTGGGGGGTGCAGAAGGGACTCCCTGGGCCCCGCCGGGACCTCCCCCGGGCCGCACCCGCTGACTTCCACAGACCTGGTTTCGGAGCCTCTTCCCCAGGGCGCGCCGGCCTCGGGCATCTCATCTCAGCGCCCGCAGGTGCAGCCCCGGGGCAGCCTCGAGTGCAGGCACCTGGCGGCATCCCAGCCCGGGGGAAGGTCAGGCTCCGCGGCCTTCACCTCCCCCCGGCCTCGGTTCCCGGGGTCTCGGCAGCATTTGCTGCAGCTGGGTTGTGCGAACCAGGGCCCGGGCGGCTCATTCTGCGTCTCCCCAGCCCCCCTAGCGCCCCCGCGGCCTCCGAGGCCTCCCCTCCTCCCTTTTGGGTCCATGTCTTGGGTTTGGTGAAAACCCCATTTCATGAGTCTGGAGCACATTCTTCAGGCCCCGCAGACCTGACTCCCCGCCGCGAGCACGCGCCCCCGGCCTACTCCACGGGGCGCAGCCACCCCATCCCAGCGCCCCGAGTTGGGGCTGCAGCCCCTCTCCCCGCAGTGATTCTGGGGTGCAGGGAGCAATGGGGAGACCACCGCTCCTTGTTCCTCCCGGTCTCCCTGCTCTGCCCTGAGGGGTGTCACCCGCTCAGATGCGCACCCCCTTGGGGCGGGCGGGCGCCTGCGGGAGCTGCAGGAGAAGGGGGGCAGGAGGGGGGCAGGAGGCCCGGCCGGGCTCACCCCGGGGAGGGCCGCGCCCGCGCCCTGGTCCGCACAGAGCGTCGACCGCGGGCGTCTGTCCACACCCTAAAGCGCGTCCCAACCCGGCAGCAGCGCGAGGGGCGCCAGCGGCTGAGGCGCCCGCGGGGCTCCTCATTCTCCTCGCGCTATGGGGGCCTCGTGCTGGGCCCCAGGCTGCGTCAGATCAGCCCCCCTCGGGCGTTCCCGGGGGACAGACCCGCATGGTGATCGGAACCTCCTGGCCTCTGAAACCTTCCTCACCGTCTCCCCCAAACGTGGGGGGTTTCCGGGGTCTCCATGCGCCCTGCGAATCCCGTTCATACCCAATGACCCGGCCAGAGCCTTTTCCTTTGGGGAGACTTAATTTCTGCTGTGTTGACCCCAAGTCCTGGTTAACGCAGGAGTCTTCGTTACCCCAGAACTGTACGAGGGTGGGGGGGCTGCCTTTGCAGGGCGTGGGAGGCGGGGCAGCGCCGTCCTCAGGGGCTAAAGGACTTAAGAAGAAATTCCCCCGATTTTATTCATTTCAGATTAAAAGAAAAAAAATCACTGATGTGGTAAAAGTGCTTTCTTTACTGGGTATTTGTTAATTCAACGTGGCGCTGGGCTTGTGCCAAAATGAATGTTGCAAAGCTCGGGGGAATTATTTCAATTTTGAAATTTCAGTGGGTTCCCTAGGCACCCCAGACACTTTTGGGGGGAGGCTGACATGAAAAGGCCTCTTCCTGGAAGGTACTGAGGATAAAGTCAAATCTTGACAGCTGGTGCTGGAAAGGCAGTGCCCAGGGTGTTAGTGAAGATTTTGGGGGCAGTCCTGAGAAACCCAAAGCTTCAGAATCTTAAGACAGTTGCAGTGTTCACCATACCAGAGACAGGGATTGCATTCTCACACACCGAACTTCACATAAATAATAGCAACAAAACAAGACCCATGAACTGTGGTTTTGAGCATGTGGAACCCGCTGAGTAAGTGGCTGCCTTTGTCCTTCTCCTGACACCCCCAAACCAGCGAGTGTGAGTTGAGTACGTGCTTATAACTTACCTGTAAAAACGGTGACTCTCTACAGAGTTCGTGTCCACAGAGATGAGGCTGAATCGAAATCCTTAAGAGAAAATTAACGCAAAAATGCAAAGCTTTTTAATAGATAATTTTAGAGGAAGGCTTTTTGGACGAGATTGTCGAAGGCCGGCACCCTTGACCTCTTGGGCATAGTCGGGTTTTACTCGTATCTGCTTGAATTGATCAAAACCAATCTGCATTGTTTTCCCAACTAGGTAATTTTATTTTAAAATTCATATTTGCTCAGGAGTGGCTGGTCCACGATCTCCATGCTCAGTGATGCCCACCCCGGGCCCCTGGCTGGATAAGGCTGACCACCAGCCCGAGCAGGCTTGGGGACCCCCCAAACCCCCATTGTTCCCCATATGCACTCAGGGTCTCCTTCTGTGGCCCCCACTCTGGAGACCCCCTGGTTGACTGGCAGCAGCATCTGCTGGTTTCCTTCCGCCTCTGGGTGCTCACGGCTCCACAGGTCCCCTGGGCACAGGGGGCAGCAGCCTCAATTTCTGATCCCACATCCTGTTGGGGGTCTGTCGGGCTCTCCCCCTTGGGGCTGGTTCCTTCACTGTGGGGGGTGAGAGGCAGACACTGGACCCTGCCAATACCTCGTGTTTGTGGGGATGGGGTGCACTGTAATGTGTGCATCATAATCAGGCCAGTGGAGACAGGAGCGGAGCAGGGGCGGAGCAGGGGCGGCGCGGGGCTGGCAGAGCTGGGATGGGGTTCCTGACCTTGAAGGGTGGCTGGAGCAGCGGAGGTGCTGGCGGGAGGTGAAACAGATGAGGGAGGGCATGATTTGAGGGGTTAAGGGTTTGTTGCCCGTTTGCTGGGAGACAGCAGAGGAGAAGACATGGAAGGCAGCTGGATTTGGGGGATGAGTCGTCTAGAACCCCAGAAATGCAGGCTCCCTAGCTCATTTCTTCCCAGGGAAGTTCTGGGAAACCCGTCTGTCCGTCACACACCAGGGATGTGCATTTGCCCTTTTCCATATCACGCTTGCCCGCCGGGCTTCTGGCAGGTCATTTCCACCACTTCCTGGTACGTGCTCGGGCCCTCCCTGGGCCCCGAGGCGCGGGGAATGGCGCGGTGGCAGGTGTCTTGCAGGGAGGCTCCTCACCTGCCGGTCCTGCCTGGTCCACCACTGGTCCTGCCTCTGGGCTTGGGCCCACCCGGCCTCACCGTTCCTGGCACAGGGCCCCGGCTCTGGGCTCCGGCTGCTTGACCAACACGATCTCCGCCGCCTCGGTGCCCTTGGTCCCCCTGGGCCAGGATGCCCGGAGACAAACGTGGGTGTTTCTGCTCACTCTGGGAGACTCCGGAGCCCAGACATCACCCAGGTGCCCAAGCTCAGGGACGGGAGAGTCTCTCCATCCTCTGCGGAAGGGCTCCTGGGGGAGGGGGAGGCCCCGGGGGGAGGGGTCCCGGAGCACCCGCCAGCCAGGCTGGAAGGCAGTTTCTGGGCATGGTGCCCCAATGGGGCCCAGCTTAGCTCCTAAAGGCATCTTGGCCTGTGACAAAGCACCCCTGCCCGCCCAGGCCCTGCCTCCAGCAGGCTCATCCCAACCTCGGCTTCCTCCTCTCTGCAGTGGGCTCAGGCGAAGCTGCCAGGGCTCTCTGGGGCTCTTCCTCTGAGGGGGGATGGCAGACAGAAGCAGATTCCAGAGCCACCATCCCGCTCCGCTGCTCATCCATGGAGAGAGAAAACGGCCCCTGCCCCGGCCTCAGTGCCTGCCCCCTCCTCGGCCTCCTGCGGCCCCTCTCTCTGGGCCCTGGCCCGGCCCTCCTCCTGCCCCTCCCCCAGCCAACCTCCTGTTGCTCAGCTGCAAGGCCTGCTGCCCTCCTGGGGTCCCCTGGAGGCCCTGCTGCCCCTGCCCTGCCCGTCCCCCTTCCCTGTTCTCTCTCCCCCTTTCTCCCTGGCCTCGCTCCTGCCCTCAGCTCTGCCTTTGCCCGTGACCCTCCTGTGGCCCTTCCCTGACCTCCAGACACCTGGGCAGACCCCTCGCCTGTCCCTACACCCCTCCTGCCCAGCCTCCTCCTCCCACCAGCTTCCCAATCCTGGGTCATCCTGCAACTGCCCCAGGGGCCTAGGGGCCTGCCCGTGGGTACCTGGGCCTCTTGGAGCTTCGCGGGTGGGGTGCTTCCTGGGTGCAGAGAGAAGCACGTGGGGTCACTGTGGGGCAGCCTGGAGGACTGTCCAGCATCCCAGGAAGGTCCCATCTCCACTCGAGTCCCCAGCCAGCTGGGGCGCTGGCCTGTGTCACCAGGCGGGCTCCTCCTGGGGACTGGTGTACAGGCCAAAGGAAGGGAACACCCCCACCCACCCCCCGTTGTCCAAACCCTGTGACTCTGGGCTCTCAGCTGCGGAGGCGGGTGGCTATCCTGGGAACTCAGGGTGCTTCCTCCTCAGGCTACTTCCCTGCTGCGCTCAAGCTCCACCTCCTCACTCAGGAGTGATCAGCCCTGCAGGCCCTATGCCTGGTCTACACCCCAGCCCCCCAAAACAGCCTCTCCAGGAAATGGAGACGCTTTGGAGGGGCAGGGGCTGCCCGGGAAGGGAGGCTGTGGCAGCAGGAGGGCACTAGCTGAGTCTCTGCCCAGCCCTAGTGCTGTGAGGTCTTGGGGCTGGAGGGTGCCAGTGCCCTGGGAACCCGGCCAGGGGCCCAGCCCCCTATGTGTCCCCGTGCCCTGTGGGCAGCTGCTCACCTCTGCAGCCCTGGCAGCTCGCCAGGTCAGGACGATGTCCCCACAGCAGCCTCCCTGGAGCCAGTTGTAGATTTTTGGGGTGGGGTTGGGGGCTGGAGAGAAAGCACAGACGGAGGTTACCCGCATGGAGATTGGAGTCTTGGGCCCCTACGCTCCTGCTCCCCCCTCAGACAGACGTGAGGAAGACTGGCTGGCCGGAGCGAGGGTCCCCTCACGTGCTCTTGTCTGTCTGCCTCGCGGGGCCTGGCCACACTAGTTGGCCAACCGAGAGCGGCAGCATGTTCCCTCAGGCAGGAAGCTGACTGATTTCGGGGAGGGGTGGCCCCTGAGAACTCACAGTGCACAGGTTGCCTGTCCCTCCAGGTCCTTCCAGGGTGCATCCTCGGCTGTCTCTTTCCTCCCCACTCCCGGGGGTGGTGAGGTCCAGAGTCACTCTCCTCAGGCCGCGTGTCCCGCGCCCCTTGCCCCCCACGCCCAGGGCAGCCCCCCGACTGGCATCTGTTCTGCAGGACTCGAGGCAGCTGCACTTGCGCCCGCCTGCTGCGGGAAGCCTGCGCCCGCCCTGCTGATGACCTTGAGTTTGCAAAAGATCACGAAGCGCAGGCAGTTTGCCAGGTGTTGAAGACCAACTTTTGGCAAAATGCCGGGTCAGGTGTCCCTGAAAGGATGAGACGGCCTAGGCGACACCTCAGGGCTGAAGGGAAGGGAAGGGAAGGGGAGGGGAGGCAGATACAGACACTCTTATATGGGTGCCAGCGTCTCCTCCGCGGCGGGTCTTTATTTCTATGTTAAGGCAAGCGATGGGATGACATCATCGTCTGCAGAGAAGCAAAACAAACACTCAGCACATTGCTTTCCCACAGACGTTTTGTCGCCTACGTGTTCTTAAGAGAAGAAACGACCTTAAAAGTTAATCGATAATCAAAACTTAGACGCATTATTTCAGCCTCAACAACTACCTAGGGCAGCTAACAGTCCTTGGTACCGCCCTGTCGCCACGGCTGCCCTATCAGGAGACCCCTCTCTCTACATGTCCTGCAGCTGGAGACCCCTTGTTTCCCAGTAATCAGTGATTAGAACTTTTATCAGCTTAGGAACTCCTAGCGTAACCAACTTGATGATTCAGCTTGGAAACTCCTAGAGTAATCAACTTCACGATTCATGGCAAGGCTTCTCGACGGAACTTCCATGTGAGGAATGTTATGACCAGCTCTGGGTTGCTTATCAGACATGCCCTTGCACGATAATTATTTCCCACTGTCAAGTGGGCCAAGTTATTCAGTGTTTAACTTTGAAGCAAGTAATTCTCCATGCCATGCACTTACAATATTCTTATACATGTATTGTATAAGATACATGTATCTTATATTGTATAAGATACATGTATCTTATACATGTATTCAATAATATCTTATACATGTATTCAATGTATTCTTATACATTTATTGCCCAATGTATTTGTTATAGAGCAACCCCGATATTAAACGGGTTCCTGGCTGTGGGTCCTCACCCGCGCGCTTTAAAGGGACTTATGAATACTCTACTACAGACACACGCAAAAGGGTTAATAAAAGGTTTATTTACAAGAGAAAAAGAAATAAGGAAAATGTACAACTCAGGGAGAAAATAGGGAAATAAAGTCTTTAATGCGTCCTACCCGATCCGACGACCTGGAAACCCCAAAGTCACTCTCAGAGCTAGACGGACGCTGCGAGCTGGCCGAGGGCCCCAAAATGGAGAGAGCCCCAAAGCCCACGTGTCTGCCTTTTGTATCCACCTGGCTGCTTAACCCCACCCTCAGGTCCCAGCCACCTTCCCTTTGGTGGTGATGGGATTTGGAGTTCCCAGTGTCTTTGGCTTTGACCTGGGGTGGGGGTGGAGTCCACAAAGCCTGTATGGAATTTGCTTTGGGACTGCCTTTTCCCCCTAACATATTGACTGAGAAGTTCTTTCTCATTATGACCAAGAATAAAAAACAAAGGGATGTTCAATCTTCAGCCCCACGGTGTGAGACACAAGGAATCTTCAGCCCCATGGTGTGACGCTCTTTTTTCTTTGGCCCCATTGTGTGAAGCTCTTTAAGCTCCGGCCCCATGGTGTGAGACCCTTTTCTTAGCTGCTTGCCAGAGTCTTACCTGGCTGGGGCAACAAGGCCCCCTGCAGCAGCCAGGAAACCCCAACCTTGAGCTCTGAATTCTAATGCCCAGGGTGGGTGGGGAGCGGGGCAGAATAACTTACTGAGCCTTCTCCCCCACTCCATCTGCTGTGGGGGGGGGGGTGTCCCACCCTGCGGGGAGCCTCTGCTGGATCCTGTCCAGGCACAGCCCGAGGTCAGGAAAGCATCTGCCCCTGGGAGGCTCCAGCTGCCCCAGGCCATTTGCATCCCCTAGGCCCAGCATGGCCGGACTCCAGGAGCACCATCCATCTCAGGGGTGGGAGGACGGTGCTTTCTGGAGCCCAGCGGACACTGTGTCCCTGGGCCTGCTGGACGTGGCTCCAAGTGCTGCCGGGGGTGGGGGTGGTGGGCCAGGAGATGTGTGGGGTGCAGGGAGGCGGGAGGGGGACAAGCCCACCCCATAAACACCTGACGTTACTTCTTCCAATGCCAGGTTGGGGGAGGAGTCAGGCTGTGCCCAGCTCAGGTCCTGAAGAAATGTGTTTGATTAGTCAACTGAAACGTGTTACTGAAAGGTGGACTTTTCTAAAGTGGCAAATTAGCAAGTGTGTCTCGATGTTGAACCCAATAGACTTGACGTCTGTTCCTGCAGAGTTCCAGGCTACTTCCGGGACGATGCACCATTAGGCACCTAAGCACTGAGGTGAGGACTGTTCTCCGTGGCCAGGCGGACTTCCGTGGCCAGGCGGACTTCCGTGGCCAGGCTGACTTCCGTGGCCAGGCTGACTTCCGTGGCAAGGTGCTTGTAGTGACGATGGCCCTGCCCCGAGGTTGATGCCGAAATGACTGACATGCGTGACTGCAAGATTGTGAGCAGTCAGGCGTGACTATAGGATTGACGTGGGTTACGAAAGGATTACCACAACTTTTCATTCTTATTTGCTCATTGTACAGAAATGCTAAAAAGGAGAATTTCTCACCGTCTTGCGCTCCCACCTCCTGCGTGTTCTTGCCCGTGTGTTTTCCAGTAGCGTGTCAAACACTCATCTGCATAATTGTAATCGTAGTAAAAAAGTCCGTCCAAGTGTGTCTTCTCGGAGCTGCAGTGTTCCTCCACGCCGCTGCACGGCCGCCGCCGGCTCCTCAGCGCAGGGTGCTCTGTGCTAAATCCAAGTTTCACTTTCACAAGCAGCAGGTTCTTTCTTTTCTACCAACCCCCTGGGCTTCAAGCCTGACTGATTTTCCCAGGCTCTAAGTCTCTCTAGATGACGCTGCAAGAATCTCTTCTCTTTCTTTTCCTACTGCATTCTGAAGAGGGCAGGACGTCTGGGGGTTCCCCCCGGCTGGGCAGCCACCTCCAGTCACACTCACACAGCAGGCAGGTGACTCCTGTGTCTGTCACTGGCTCTGCCCCCTCCGGAGGCCTCTCTCTCTCTCTCTCTCTTTTTAAAGATGTATTTATTTATGCATACAAGAGCTGGGGTTCAGGCCAGAGATGGGGGGGTGAGAGGATTCACCAGAGACAGAGTGGGGAGCAGAACAGGCAGATTGACTGAAATCCACTCTGAGGGGAGCAGTGGGGAGACAGGCGAGGTCTGCTGCGGGTCAGCTCCCTGGCTGGGGATCGAACTCATGTCATAGTAGCTGGTGATAGCTTGATAGCCCAGAGACTTTAACCCCACCAGGGAGCCCCAGGGAGGTCTCTCTTGAATGACCTGACCCCTTTTCTCTGCTCTTTGTGCTTGGGAGGCCGGCTGTGGCCAGGGGGTCACGTGAGAGCCACAGAGCTGCAGGGCCCTGCGGTGGCTCAGAGTTGTGGCTGGAAGTGTGTCTGCGAGTGGGCGTGTGTGGGGGAGGGTTGAGGACTTTGATCTCCTCCCGTGTGTGTGATATCTGATTGTGCGCTGTGTGCTTTGAAAAATACCTGTCTTGGGGCCTCTCTGTGGGAGCACAGGCATGTGTGGGTGTGCTTGGATGTGTGTGGGGTGCCCGCGAGTGGGGGGAGTACTGTGTCTCTGTTTATGTCTTTGGCTGAGGTTGAGGGTGTTTCTAGCTTCGGGGTTGTCTCTGGAGTGAAGTGTGGGGGTGCACGTCCGCGTCCACATGCGTCTCCAGATGTGTGTGCGTCGTGGCGCGGCTCTGCCTGTCTCTGGCCGGGAGCCGCGAGGCCTGCAGCAGCCACAGCACATGCACAGGAAACAGGACGCTGGGGCGGACCTGCCCGGCACAGCCCTGTTCTGGCGCGGCGGCCTGACGCCTGCCCGAGCGGCCGGCTGAGAAGGGCCACGGCCTGGCGGAGACCATCAGGGCAGAGGTGGCGCCCCTCGTCCGGGCAGGGGCCTGGGCCCGGGGCCGCACACTCCCCTTCCCCGAGGGGCTGCTCTGGTGCGCGGGCACCTGCCGGGCTTCTCTGCTGTGTCCCAGGCGTTGCCCTGTGGGCGAGCGAGGCCGGAGGCAGCTCAGCCCTTCCTCCGCCCGAGGCGCCTTTCCTGGGCAGTGCTGCGTGGCCATGTCCCCAGCTGCTCTCTGGGGAGAGAAGCCCCGAGCCGCAGGGCGCAGGTGTTTGTCTGAGGCCGGCGCTGCTGCAGGGAATCCCTGTGCAACCTCGCTTGACCAGGTGGAGGGAGGGGGAGCCCCTGGAAGCAGGGACCGCTGGGCCCAACCCAACAGGGTGATGTCCTTGCGGGGTGGTGGGGGTGGGGGAGAGAAAGCTTCAGGCGGAAGAGGGGGGTCAGCTGCCCGGTTGGGACACAGGGAGCACGTCACCTTTCCTTGGCCTGTGCACCCATCCCCAGGAGGCACCCGCCTGGTGACACGGGCCAGCCCCCCGGCCTGGGGAGGGGCCTGCTCAGGTGGTCCAGGGAAGGGCCACAGGAGGGTCACGGGCAAAGGCAGAGCTGAGGGCAGGAGCGAGGCCAGGGAGAAAGTGGGGGGAGATCAGGGAAGGGGGACGGGCAGGGCAGGGGCAGCAGGGGCTCCAGGGGACCCCAGGAGGGCAGCAGGCCTTGCAGCTGAGCAACAGGAGGTTGGCTGGGGGGAGGGGGCAGGAGGAGGGCCGGGCCAGGGCCCAGAGAGAGGGGCCGCAGGAGGCTGAGGGGGGGGCAGGCACTGAGGCCGGGGCAGGGGCCGTTTTCTCTCTCCGTGGTGGCCGATGAGCAGCGTAGCGGGATGGTGGCTCTGGAATCTGCGTCTGTCTGCCGTCCCCCCTCAGAGGAAGAGCCCCAGAGAGTCCTGGTGGCTTCGCCTGAGCCCACTGCAGAGAGGAGGAAGCCGAGGTCCGGATGAGCCTGCTGGAGGCAGGGCCTGGGCGGGCAGGGGTGCTTTGTCACGGGAGGCCGGGAGGCCGGGGTGTGGAGGTACCAGGGGTGGGATGAGGAGCCGAGTCAGGGCGAAGCTCGCCGAGTTAGCCACCTGGGCTGCAGGGGCCCCTGGCGGCTGG